TGTTGGAATTGTTTTGGTTGCTGAAAATACACTTGGCCGCAGCGTTGTGGCACTGTGGAACGGAAAGAGCCTTGGCTCTGAGCTCAGGCAGACCCTGGGTTTGAATCCCAGCTCCTTCATTTACTGTGTCCTTAATAGGTCATTAGAGTTTCTGAGTCTCTTCGCCTTTTCCTGTAAAAATGAGGTCAATGAAGTCTGCCTCTGAGCATGACATTCCTGGCTCTACTGGATCCAGAGTAGCAGCTGTCATGTGCAGGCCTACTACGTGCCTAGAATCGTCTAGTGCTTATGAATGCATATTATCTTACAGCAATATGTGGTTGATTCTTAAAGGGACCAACCTGTCCCAGGCTGTCCCAAACTAGCCTGATTGTACAACTGAAATTCTAGAGTCCCAGGGATCCTCTCAGTCCAGGACAAACTAGGGAAGCTGGTCACTCGCTCAATATTATGGTCTCATCTTCCAGGTGTAGAAGTGGAGGCTCAGAGGGTATATGCAAATTTCAGAGGGTATGTGCAAATTTCGCAGTATTTCACAGCTGGGAAAGAATAGGTTCAGCGTTCAAAGCCAGGTTTGACAAGCTCCCAAGCCTGGACTCTTTCTGCTGCCCTGAACTCTGTTCAGTAAATGTTGCTATCCTTGCTGTATTACTAGGACGTTCTAGACTTAGCAAATATTTGTAGATCAGATCACATTTTGTTCAACTGTCTTTAATTATAATTTCAGGAATGCATGTGTGTGCATGTGTGTGTTAAAGAGTGGAAACTGTTCTACAAGTCATAGTGATAATGAAAGTTATAGTGATAATACTAACGAAAATGATAGTTTAAAAGCCTAACATTTATTTCAAAGAACATTGTATCTTTTGTCAATGCATGGTTCATTCATTCTTCCCCTTATTCATGTATTCGTCCCCTTATTCATGTATTCGTCCATTCCACAGGTATACAGTGAATTCCTATTGTGTGTTAGGTATCAGGAGATACAAAGAAGGCCAAAGTGCTGGTTTCAAGCTGCTAGTGCATTGGGATTTAAAGAATCAACTGTAGCCCTGGCCAGTGTGTCTCGGTTGGTTGGGCATCATCCTTGTGCACTGAGAGATTGCCAGTTCCATTTCCCGTCAGGGCACGTGCTCAGGTTTTGGGCTCTATTGCTGGTGGGGGGTGTGCAGGAGGCAGCTGATTGATGGTTCACTCTCACATCAATGTTTCTTTCTCTCTCTCCCTTCTTCACTCTCTAAAAATCAATAGAACATCTTTAAAAAAGAGAATTAAGCCTTGGCCGGTTTGGCTGGGCGGTAGAGTGACGGTTCACGGACCAATGAGTCACGGGTTTGATTCTGGCCAAAGGCACGTACCTCGGTTATGGTTTGTCCCCAGCCCTGGTCAGGTCGTGTGGGAGGCAACCAGTTAATGTGTCCCTCTCACATCGATGTTTCTTTCTCTCTCCTTTTTCTCCTTCCCACTCTGTCTGAAGATGAATAGAAAAAAAAATATCCTTGGGTGAGGATTAAAAAAAAAGAGAGAGAACTGATTGTAAAACAGTGTGAGAAGTATGACAGAGAAGCAAGTCCAGATGTTCGAGTTCTCGCCCACCTCCCCTCACATAGGCTCCAGCGCAGAGATCTTCAATGAAGCTCCAAGCTTATTCCTGCCATGTTGTTTGCACCAGCTTTACCTCTTCCTGGAGGATTCTTTCTCCTAATCCTGGTCCTTCAGATCCAAGATGAAATGTTGCCTCTTCAGAAAGAACCCCCTTCACCACTTTGAGCCAAGTTAGTTACCCAGACATACATTCTCTATTCTATTGTTCTGTCTTTTTGTTTTTTGTTTTTAATATATGTTTTATTGATTTTTAGAAAGAGAGGGAGAGACAAGGAGAAAGAGATAGGAACATTGATGTGCACGCCCCCTGCTGGGAACTGAGCCCAAAACCTGGCACATGCTCTGACCGGGAATTTAACCGGTGACTCCCTGGTGCGTGGGTCAATGCTCAACCACTGAGCCACCGGCAGGGCAGATGGTTCTGTTTTAATGACCTTCCTAGAGTTTATTTATGGTTATTTTATATTTATCTTGTTTAGATTTTTTTTGTTTGTTTGTTTCCTGCTTTTTGTCTGCCTTTGCCAACAGAATGTAAATTCCAGGGAGAGAAAATAACTTATTTATTTTATTGTTAATTACTAGTATTTTTTCATGGCTATACTCTGGGAACCTAAAACAATGCTAGGCACACTGGAGCTGTCAGAAAGCATGTTTTGAATAAACAAAAGGAATGAATTAATACATGTTTTGGATGCTGGAAAGAGCAGCCAATTCATCATGAGCGAGCGGAAGTGTGAGGGGAAACTACTTGAAGGTGAATTCAGCTTGACTTATTTTTCCTGCTAATAATGGTAGCATATTCTCAGTTTTTAAAAACTTAGTCAAAAAAAATCACAAAAAAGGGAAAAAATAAGACCAACATAGTGAGATCAATAAAAGTAAGACTTGACATAATCACAGATAATACTTTGTTGCAGTCTTTTCATTCCTGGTCATAGATACTTTTGAACAAAACCAAATCACTCTTTTCCTAGTTCTTACCTTTCTAAGGGTAAATATTTTCCGGCATCTTCATTTTAAAGGTTGCTTTGTTCATCATCTAGTAGATGTCCGAGGATTTAGCTAGCTAGCCAATCCTGCGGGACCTCTGAGGGTTCCCATCTTGCCATGACTGGTAATATGGAGCAGCCTTGCAGCTAGATCATCTTTGCATGGATCCATTTGTAGCTCAATAATAGAAGCCAAAGTACTTTGATCTGAGTTCTAGACCCTCCAGTTTGTTTATCCATTTATTTTTAAATTTTAAAAAATTTTCTCACTGTAATATGGGGAGGAGAGCCTACTTTGTAAGGTCTGTCATGCAAAATAAATGATATTATAAAGGTCAAGTTCTCAGCACAAAGTATATGATACGTGTTAGCTTCCCTTGATAACTTCCTTTGAAGTCCAATTGACTTTCTAATCTGTCTTAAGGGATGAAGAGAAACTAGCTAAAGAGATGTGTGGGAAGGAAGTTAAGATGGGGAAGTTGGGAGGAGAGAAACATTTTTAATTTAATTTTTTTAATCTTCACCCAACAATATTTTTCCATTGATTTTCAAATAGAGTGGGAGGGGGGAGAGAGAGAGAGAGAGAGAGAGAGAGAGAGAGAGAGAGAGAGAGAGAGAGAAACAGAGAAATATCGATGTGAGAGGGACACATCCATTGGTGGCCTCCTGCATAACCCCAACCAGGGCCAGGGATTGAACTGCAACTGAGGTATGTGCCCTTGACTGAAATCGAATCTGGAATCAAACCCATGACTCTTTGGTCTGGGGGCTGATGCTCTAACCACTGAGCAAAACCGGCCAGGGCGAGGGAAACATTTTTTAAATTATGGAAGAATCAGTATAGACCCACAGCACCAGCCAGAACTAACACACGGAGCTTGTATTCACTGTGCCCCTCGCGCCGCCCCGTGGCAGCCCCGCTCTGCACGGCCACAGAGCAAGAGCAGGCTGGTCCAAATAATGCTGCTGGTGCAAGCTGGGTAACGGGGAGAATAGAGAGCCCTTTAGCTGGATTAAAGAGGCTGGAGAGGTGGGTTTTGATTGGTCCAACAAGAAATTCAATTTTTAACATACAGCAGTATCTAGCAGATTGCCCAGAAAAAGAAGATCAGGGCTTGTGTTGTTGGTTTGAATAAACATCGTGGAGAATAGAGGCTTTGGCAGTAGAGATCACCTAACTCAGGAAGAGACGTGGTCTGTGTCCCTCATGATAAGAAGCTGTGAGTTCATCTAAATGTACCCACTTTACTTTCAGTGCTTGGTGTCTGATTTAAGTAGTCCATCTTAATTTTATTTATATGTATATTTTCAATATGTGCAAAGTAACAGCAAAGTCACACTCTGATAAGATCATGTTTATTTAGTGCTTTCTGACCGAGTAGAGAAAGTAAAAAGAATATTTAAAAAAACGTATAATTTATATTTACATAAATACTTTGAAGGAGAAATGGTGAACCCATCTGGTGACATTAGGAGAGTGTATACGGTTGGGTTGGCAGCCTATCTTCCAGCCTGACCAATGAGATAGACGGATGTATACGCACACATCTGGTTTGTGAGTTTGCATCATTAGGGCCTGAGGGTACGTTACGGGCAGGTCTATGATGCGTTCTAAGCTCCTCTCAAATCTGTGTTACCATGCCAGCCCACTTAGGTCAGTGTTATTGTTTTGTTTTAAAATTTCACTACAGGCACATTTGAAAGTCATCCAAGGTGATCATCAGGTGCTTTGGGCCTCAGTTTCCTCATCAGTGAGATGAGAGGGTCTCTGCTGACCGGCTCTGCTTCTTCGGAACTAGAGCACCAGTGAGCCAGCAGCCACAGCAAGTGTCTGGGGGCTGGTAGGGTGCAGTCATCGTCATCTCTATCAGGGGACTTTTCTGCTCAGCTTCTTTCTATTGGAAAGGAGTCAATTTGTCTGAAATGGAGCAGGTTTATGCCACCAGTCTGCTCCCTTAGTTAACTGTGACATCGTATTACTGCAGATACAGCTCGTTGTGTAGTGTACAACTAAACACAAAACCAATAGTCTCTGGAGTTCACGTTGAACAGCTCTGTGTTCCTCGGATCTTGGACTTGGAAGTTCAGCGTCAAGGAGCTCAACAGAGACCCCTCAAGTCAAACCTCAGTCTACGGTGAAAGATTTGTGATGACATGGTCAGTATGATGCTGGGATTCCCTGTGTCATTCCTTACAGTGACATTTCCTTGAAATTGCACTAACATATAACAAAAGTAGATGAGTGTAATGCGATGCCGTCTACACAGTAAAACCTATATCTGACTTCTTAATTGATAGAAATGTCCATTTGCAGTAAACACCATAGAACAGTAAGTCATCCCTAAGCACTATCCTGAGCTTACCTTGATTCCAAGTTTACAGTTAATCATATCTTTCATTAAAAAAAAAAAAAAAAAAAAGACAGCTATAACTGACCTCATATGACCACAGAAAATACATACGACTCAGGGGTGAAATCATAATTCTCGTCATTTTCCTTATATGCTTTGGATGATGGGTCACGCAGTAGCTACAGTTTGCTGCTGTAGGTGAGCTTCTCCAGGGACCCACGTTACATCTTCCCCCTGCTGGTGTTAGGCTTTAACTCTTGGAGGAAAGCCTCGCTGTGAGGACAGTTGTTGTGACAGGTGCAGGTCCCGATGACCATCACTGGTTTCTTGATGATCTGCCCGGGGGAGCACTGGAACTCCACCTGGATGGTTTTGGTGTTGTGGGGGGTGCAGCACCGGCCGTCGCTGCAGACCCCACAGTACCTGGGCTTGTAGGTGTGCAGGCTCGTGCAGTTCTTGAACTGCAGGTGGATGGCTTTGAGGGACTTCGTGGTGCGGAGACACTTTTTTCCTTTCTAAGAAAGAAGAAAAGGAGTAATGCATGGGTGGCTACTGCTCCTCCCAGGGACTATTTTAGGCTAGTTGCCTGCCCAATATCCACTGCTCTTCCTTCTTTGCTAACAGAACATTAATTTGTTTCGGCAGCATGGTCAGCTAAAGGTATTTGCTCCTCCAGAATATCTGGGAGCTTGGGACAGCCTCGTGACAAAGTTCTGGCCAGTGATGCATAAGCCAAGGGATTCTGGGAAATCCTCTGCCCTTCAGACAGGTACAGTTCTTGACTGCTTCCTGCATTCATTTTCCTTCTTGCCTGGAATGTAGACACCATGCCTAATCTGGCATAGCCATCCGTCTTTTGATCTCGGTAAAACATGAGGGTAAAAGCATACGTGGGATAAAGAAACCTAAACTTTTAAGCCACTGTGACAGAGTTTGGTGGTGTTTTTAGCCAAGTGCATTCCTAGATGTTACAAAGTGAAAGAGAATGAATCTGGCCCCCTTGCAAGCCTCCTAATGTTTCAAATATGTTTCAAACATTAACTCACGCAACGTTATCAACCCCATTCACTGCTGTGAGGAACAGCTGTTCACGTAAAGAATCGCTGCCCCAGTTTTATAGATAAATAAATGAAACCTCAAAGGGCTGAAGTGATTGAAAACATCTAGTAATTGAACGTGTCTGCTGCAATGCCCATTTCTGCTACTGTACCACAACCTTACGAAAGTCCAAAACAATGACATTTAAGGTTATTTGCCATGAAGGCAAAGTAAGTGGGGGAATTTATTGAATATTCCATTAGTAGTGGTTGATGAGGATCCCCAGCATTGATAGTTCATCAAGGAATAGACCATATGTTTATTTCCCACTGGGATTTCTTCACCTACTAATTTGCCACAGTTCCTGCTGCTCGTGACCTTCCTGGGCACAGGCTGCAGCTTGTGGGCGAGGAGACCGGGAATTCCCTAAAACCAGCGGTTCTCAGACTTCAGTGCACGGCCAAGTCGTCAGGAGGTTTTGCAAAAACACAGATTGTTGGGCCTTAAATCCAGGGTTTCTGATTCAGGAGGTCTGATGTGGGCCCCAGTAAACTGCATTCTAACACATTCTGAGATGCGGCTGCTGGTCTGGGGACCACACTTTGAGAAGTACTGTCTGACATTTAAGAATCTCTCAATTAGAAAGTATTAATGGCCCTGGCCGGTTTGGCTCAGCAGTTAGAGCGTCGACCTGCGGACCAGAGTCCCGGGTTCAGTTCCCACTAAGGGCACGTACCTCGGATGCCGTTTGTCCCCATGTGGGTGGCGACCACTCTCTCACATAGATGTTTCTCTCTCTCTTTTCCTTCCTTTCTCCCTCCCGCTCTATCTGAAGATAAATGCAAAAATGTCCTTGGGTGAGGATAAAAAAAAAAAAGAAATAATTATTTATGTATTTTCCTAGATTCCAAAAAAATTTCTAGAACCTTTATGAAATATATATACCATGAATAAATATTTTAAACATAATATCTCCCAATATTAAACTGGATACAAGAAAAAAATATAAATTTTGGTTAAAGAAACAAACAAACAAAAAGCAAAATTTTAGAGGCATGATCTGGAAAAACCTTATTTAATAAAGAAGTTACTGTGTCTTTGACAATATTTAAGGGTTTCTTATTTCTTCCTTTTTCATATTTAATATTTAGTGTATATTCTTGTCAACAGCCACATCCCTTTGTGTGTGTGCATGTGTGTGCACGCTCGTGTGAGAGAGAGAGAGAGAGAGAAAGAGAGCGAGCGAGCTAGAGAAACAGAGACAGAGAGAGACTGCTTTGTGCATGACCATGTTACAGGTATGTTAGAATTCCCTTACATGTAGGGAGGTGCATATAATTTTAGGGATAAAGTGTTTCTGGGTGTTCTTTCTAAATCTATGAAAGAAACATAGTTAGGATGGACCTCAAAAAGTCATACAGCTCGGCAGCGATATAATGAATGTAACTACTGGAGACTCTTACTTAGCAATAAGCAGGAACTTTAAGCGATGATGCCTAGTGTGAACAGAGCAATCTGTGTCCAGCACTTTGCTAATTCATCCGATTTAATCCTCATGACACCGTTGAGGTAGGTACTGTCAATGACCCTATTATGTGGGGGACAGAACTGAGGCTTAGAGGTCAAGACAATTGCCCCAGATCCCGCAGCTGGATTGCGTGGGAAGCCGGGATTTAACGCCGGGCTGGCTGGCTCCACAGACATGCAGACGTTTCATTGCACGGCACGGCTTTGTTTACGTTTGTACAAGGTCCATCTAGCAGTTTAATTTTGGGGTTTGTATGTTATCTAGGGTTCTGGTAACAAGGCCTGTGATGTCTCAGGAACCAGGCCAAGCTTCTGACCTGCATGCCTTATACTCAGCGGTAACACACTGAGTTGATATAATACCAGCAAAAAAGCAAAGAAATGCGCTATTTTGTTTGGCATATATAGGGTTACACTGGCAAATGCCCTGGTCCCACCGAGCTTTTAAAATACTGAACATAATTCCCAGACAGCCATCCATTTCTTCCTCAACAATGTCTCATCGAGCACACACTGTGGACCAGGTGGGGTGCTGGGACTGAGGGGTGAAGAAGGCAGATGTAATTCCCCCTCTGTTGCTTACTCCAGGTTGAACCCGAGGGGTGACGGGGACTGAGGTCAGAAGTGACCTCCGAAAATCATCTACGCTTGGCAATGGACTAGCCAGTTTTTCCGGGAATGGAATGAGATGCGCCATCCCCTTCTCAATTGGGGACATGATGCTAATTGTCCAGCCCTTCCCTCTTTACCTGTGAGCCTGCTGTGAGTTGCTTGGGATGTTTCAATACATTAAAGAGAGAGAGAGAGAGAGAGAGAAAGAAGAAGAAGTTACACTTACTCAGGAACCTCTCTGCCTTGTCCTTGGGGTTAACTCCCAGCCGGAGCTGACCTCTAGTCACTACAGTCACTGTGCTTTTCCTAAAGCCCCGGCCCTGGCTGCCTCCTCGGTGATGGGGGCCACCTCCAGGCTCCTACCTTGTCTGTCGGTTGCCTGTGCTCCTGTTCGCAGGGCCGCACCATGCAGAGCCGAGTCCGCTTCACCATCTCGCACTGCGGATTCCTGTTGGTGACCTGGGTGGACAAGCCCATGCCACAGCTCTTGGAACACGCGCTCCACTCTGTGGTCTGTTCAATGCAGTTGATGCTTGAGTCGGAGACTGCAACCCCCAGGGTGGTTTCTGTCCTGTAGGCTGTGATGAACACAAAGAAAGACAACCAGGTGGAGTGAAACGTGGGGATCACGAAGTGGTCCTGTCCACCATTGTTAGAAAGAAGGTCTCAGCCAATCCTGTACCTCCTAAACCACAGGTGTTCTCAGGGACAGAATGGATCACTGGATTTATAAACCCCAAACAGGTGGCACAAGCCCGGCATGTTGTAGGACTTCAGGAAATCCTTGTGGAATGACTGTTTAACTTGTCCTTAAGAAGCTTAGGGCCCTGGCCAGGTGGCTCAGCTGGTTGGAGTGTCTTCCCATACACCCAAAGGTTGTGGGTTCGATTCCTGATCAGGGCATGTACGGCAGACAACCAATCGATGTTTTTCTCTCACATTGATGTTCCTCTCTCTCTCTCTCTCCACTTTCCTCTCTCCATAAAATCAATAAAAAATATCCTTGGGTGAGGATTTTTTTTTTTTTTAAAGAAGCTTAGGATAACCTGTCTTTAAGAAGTCTAGAAATTTTAAGAATATAGAACAGTTTAGGATCCACAACCACTCCATAAACTACTGTGTTTTCAGTATGTGATTTTGAAAAAAGAGCATGATAAAATTTTAAGTGAATGAGTACGTAGAACCAACCATCTCAAAACAGCGATGAAAGCAATACTTTGCCTTGGAAAGGTAGAACTGGTGACTTGGGTTATGGGAGACAGACACTTGGACTTTGATCACGAAAAGCTGTGTCCCAACACTTCGTGTCATGACTTGAGGCACATCTCCTCCTCTGCAGGGCAGCTTTGCTATCTGGAAGGCTAATAGTTTCTGACCTTGGAGACGCTGTAAGCTCTCCATACCACCAGTATATATAATCTGGCTGATTGATGGCTTCTAAAATATTCTCTCCTGGCTTGAGTGTCCCTCCCCACCCAAAACTAGTTCCTTTATAAGATGAAACAAAAAGAAAAGCAAAACAAAGATCCTGAAGTGTCACCTGAGCCTGCCTACAGCACCTGGAAAGGTGGCATTTCTCTGTGACGCCTGTCCAGTGACGAGTGGCATTCTTTAGGGAGGCTGGTCCCGAGAGCGCACAGGTAGTGTGCAGAATCCACAAAAGAAAGAGTGATTTTTTTTTTTTTTACTTGTGTCTTTGTCATGTGAATCAAGGTCAAGTGGGATGGACTCAATGGTAGTCCTGCAATAAAACAACATCAGGCCCACTGCTGAAAAGATCCACGGAGTTTGGCAGGTTCTCTAGGAGAAACTGTGTGCACTTCACTCACTTGGCTGGGACTCAGACCCGTGGTGTGTGGTCGCAGTGGGCAATCTGGAGTCCACAGCTGAGTGGCCAGAGTGGAGGCCAGCTTCTCACTGCAAACCCGACAGAGCACGCGAGACGCCTGCCCACATGCGTCCTGTGCTGGGACCTCCTTCCGGTACCCCGTTTCTCGAGTTTCTCACCTGGAAGGGCATGCAGGTCCCCTAAGGCCTCTGTGTCGTTTGCGTCACAGATCCACTTTTCGCAGCACTCCCCGGGCACTTCAACTTTTCTCGGAACCGGGCAGTCAGGTTGGGGTAGTAGCAGGTCCTCGTCACAGCGAGGCACACAGCCAATCTGCCCATCTTGGCAGGTGCACTGGTATTTGCAGCTGGGCTGAAAGGTCTCTCCGCTTTGGTAAATGACCCCGTCGAACACACAGTTATCTCCCTCTATGGCTAGAATATTGGGGAAGCGGGGCCGAGAGTTAAGGGGGAGAGAAAAACAAAATCATAATGCCTTGAGGGAGCTACATAAGGTGTGTTGCACATGTTCCAAAGCCTAAGTTGTTCACTGTCTAGTTGAAGGAGTCTGGTTTCTTACCCATCTCCAGCGGAGACACCCTCATGGACGCTACCAGAGAAAGAGGTGGTCTTTTATTTATTTTTTTAATGTAATCTCAGGCTGCAATATTAGAAATGTCCAAATTGGGGAGGGGGAGGGGACTGCATGCTGCAGGCTGTATAGATCAATAAGCACAGGCCATCTCAACCAACGTTCACTGAGCACCTACTGTGTGCCCGACCACAACTAGCTCTAGTTCCAAGTACAAGGTTCATTTCATACCAAGAGGCAGTGTTGTCGCTCATTTTATGGATGAGGAAAGAGGTGTACGACTGAGAAATGACGCTCCCAAGGTCCCCATAGCATGTTCCCAATGATACACTTATTTTCCCAGAAACACCTCAGATTTTCCTAATCCAGCAGCTTACAATTAAAAGAAGAAGAAGAAAAAGAAGAAAAACATACATGTTCTCCAAATAGGTTAACTGGTCAACCTGGGCAGAGAGAGTTAGAATTCTTTGGCATTCCAGCAGACAAAAAAATCATTACTAGCTGGGAGAATGAAGTAAAAGCCGATTCCAAAGGAGGCAGGGCGCGCCTCCAACTACACGGTGCACCACGTGGAAAACCGATGCCCAATTAATGAAGTTTCACCAGCCCGCACTGGCTGGCTGCCTGCATTTTATTCTATTCACAGCCCAGACAGGGGTTACATAGTCCTCCCTGGAGACCACGGGAGGCTTTGGCTCAAACAGGACAATTACAGGTGTGAAAACAAACCTGCTCGGCTGCACTTGGGGGAGATCCGAGCCAGTGAGTAAGCCCAAGCTTCCATCACCCCCAAACGCCCCCCTGGAAATGTCCAAGAGAAATTACCTCACTGGCCCTTAACTCTGCTCTGCTCCCCATCTATCTAGATTCTTCTCTAGGAAGGCAAGTGATTGAATGGTTCTCACCTCCAGCTTCGGGCGCTTCCCCCAACCCCCAGATATCCAGACCATGCCTGGCGCACAGTGAGTGCTCCATAAACATCACCTACCGCCTCCTCAGGATTGTTCCTATTAGAGCATCACCTCTGGGCAGGGGCAGGGGGAGGGAGGGAAGGGGGCAGCTCCCCCAGCCCAGCGAGAGGTGCAGCGGCGGAGGGGCAGGGTTACCCATGCAGATTCCCGTCTGGGCGCTGGGGTCCGCTCTGCGGTCGCAGAAGAGGCCGCGGCTCTCCTCGCAGGGCTCCCTCTCGGAGCAGCTGTCGCCTCGCTGGCGGGCACACACCAGGCAGCACGAGCAGTCGTCCAGCACCGCTCTCACCCCGGGGGCGCAGGTCGGCGGCGTCTTGGGGCACCGAGCTGGGCACGGGTCGGGGCAGCGTTGAGTCGCGGCGACCTGGGGGCGGGCGAGACAAGAAGGTGAACACCCTCAGCAGGGTCATCAAAGCAGAGTGACCCGGGGACCCAGCAGGGGCAGCCCAGAAAGGCTACGTAGCCAGAGGCACCTAAGGCGTGCGCCACTTACCTGTGCCAGGAGATGGAGGAGCAGGAAAGCCAGGCAAAGGCACTGCTTGGGCAGAGTGAGACTCATGCTCTGCACACTCAGCATGCTCAGGCTTTTCCCTCCCGCTTTTACAAAACGCGACTTTCTGCGCCGAGGATTGGCCCTGCGCACCTCGCTCCAGGTCCCGATCGCCTCTCCTCCCCGCGCCACCTCTGCAGGTTTTATAGTGCGCTCCAGGGACGCGCACAAGCCGGTTGGCTGCAGCGCAGGGAGGAGGGGGAATCGGCTGGGTGGGGAATGGAATGAACCCCGGGGTTGCCATGGCAATTGGCCGTGGGTGCTGCTCTCCTTAGGGCGCGGCACCGGGGCCTGCGAGTGCCTGTGTGTGGCGACTGGCCTGTCCCAGAGCACCGGGAGGGGCTGGGTGGAGTCCCCAGGCCAGGACCCAGGGCTGGGTCGAGCGCGTGGGAAGGAAACGCCCGTTTCCTCCTGGAAGCTGCTTTGCCTTCCCCCAGGACTAAGACACCGCCACTCCCCACCCACATCTCTGTCCTGGCAGCCCAAGCAGCACTGCAAACGCGGGGCTCTCCTAAAGGGGTGCCTGAAGTTTGGGGCCATTTGTGGGGGGTTGGCCAGAGGCCCAGGGATTTAGTCATGGGGGAAGCACGAGCAAGTTTGTCACCGTTTAGGGCACTCTTTGAATGTGTTGGGGGGGGGGGGGGAGAAAGAAGAGAAGGGGCGGGCAGAAATAGAAAAGAAAATAAATCAGCAGTGTTTGGATGGGGGATGCTCCTGGCCAAATGGCAAAGTTCCTTTGACGACTCATTCCAAGCCCCACTGATTCTGAAACCTCCAGCTCCACTGTTTTGATAGAAGCAAGACATAATAAAATAAAAATAGAAGGGCTTGAGGGAAGTGCAGACGTTCTTCTTGGTGGATAAAAACTTGAAACACCTGCCGGGTCATGGCCAACACACAAGAGCACATCTCAAAGCACAAGAGGTCCCGAGAGTTCGCAAGGCAGGTCCCACTCAGCTGCGGGACCTCAGCAGTCACGGAAGGGGGAGGAAGGCGTCTCTCGAGGTGGCCAGCCAGGTGTCCCTTCCACCTGGCTTCCACTTCTGGAACCTGGCTGCTGTGAGCACCCGTCATCTGTCACCAGGAGAGCATTTTCGCTGCTCTAAGGGTGACATTACTTGTTGGATTAAAAACAAAAAAAACCCCTGCTCCCTCCACTTCAACTTTGCTGCCGCCTCTGGGATAATTATGTCCAGCTCCTTGGAGGATACCCGCATTGAAAAGACACTTTATAAGAAAAATTATACAGGCGTGTGATGTAACGCTAGACCTCAAAAAGAAACAAATTGCCTTGACTTCATCTGTCTCCGGTATGAAGTGGAATCAAAGGCAGCTTGTGTGAGGGGCCAGGGCTGCCCCTCAAATTGCTGCCACCTTGGCGATGAGGTCATTTCAAGCCCTGTCAGGCTAGTTCTCTGAGCAGCTTGGGACTCCTGTGACATAGTGCCAAGCCTCCAGATTCCGCTTTCTTCGGGGTACACCAGGCGGAGCGGTGCCCAAAGCTTGTCAAGAGGCGGAACAGTTCATCTGTGCCATGTCTTGGGTACTGATCTCCTCTTCAAGGTGATGGGCTTTCTTGGGTCATGTGGCTTGGTGATGAATCCACCTGACTGCCCAACAGAATCTACCAGGGTTGTGTTTTTTTTCCCCAAAAAACTGTAGATTTGTAGACCCCACCCTTGACCCACTCAATAGGATTCTCTGGTGAGGGCTTTTGGTAGACAGCATTTTTATCTACTTTGAAACAGAAACTGGATTTGGGGAAGGATAGGGAGCAACTAGAAGCATAGCTGATGGGGAGGCAAGAATTTTGGCCAAGTTTTCAAAGTGTGAAGAAACAGAACAAGGAGAAATTGCAGCGTTGATGTTGGGCTGACTCTTCCTGGAAAGAGGGAGGCTGAGAGGAGAAATGTAACTTCAATGTCAGGTTGAAATGTCAAGAAGCCACTGCTAAGGTGAGCTGCTAACTCGGGTCTCTTGATTGCAAGTGGTAGAAAGTGGCTGCTTTCAGCAGGAAGACGTGCTTGGAACGAGGCCGTGGTATCTCTCATCGCACACATGGGAGTGGTCCTCGCTGTCAGAGGCTGCTAGGACCAGGGCTGGAGCTGTCAGGACTTCACCTTTCTTTCTGTCTCCAGTGCTTCTCTGTGCGGCGACTTGGGTCTGTCCCACTGCAGACCATGCTTCTTCCGTAGAAAGGAAATGTCATCCTTCAGTTCTCCCCAACCTCCTACATTGTGACCTATCACTACAGAAAGTTAGCCTTCCCCCTTAAGCTCAGTTTGGAAAGTTCTGGGAAAGGAGTTGGATGAGTGCACCCTGGCCCCTGGAAGGAGTCAAGACAGGTGAGGTATGGGGATTCACTAACTGCGAACACCATGTAGCTGGAGTGGGGAGGAAAGATAGTTCCCTAGGAAAGAAGAAAATATTCCTTTAAAAAATATTTTTATTGCTTTTTACAGAGAGAGGAAGAGAGGGGGGGAGAGAGAGAGAGAGAGAGAGAGAGAGAGAGAGAGAAACATCTATGTGAGAGCAGAACATTGATCACCTGCCTTCTGCACGGCCCTACTCAGGGGGGATCGAGCCCAAAACCTGGGCATGTGCCCTGACTAGGAATTGAGCTGGCAACCTTTCAGTGAATGGATGGATGCCCAACCCACTGAGCCACACCGCCCAGGGCAAAAAGGAAGTATTCTTTAAGAAGAAAGCAAGCTTGCAAAATAGTACTTAGACACCCTCTCGTCAGCTGTGAGTGCTCCTGGGTAGAGATTACTTTGACAAAACCACTGGACATAGAGAGTGGAGCCACCTAAAGACAGCTCTGTCCAGCCAGGCTTTGCTGCTTCCAGGATCTCCTCTCTTGACTCCATCCTGCTGGGACAGAGTTTGTCCTTTCTGGACACCTGTCACCCCTTGCTTTTCTCCTCTTGACTCGCTGAAGAAGGATGATGTGTCTGGTCTGTCTCTGTCTCTCTTCCCTGGCTGGGAGCCCTGGAGCACAGGGAGCATGTCATACTCTCCCTAACACCCCAGCACTGACTGCAGGGATGAACAAATGAGCACTTGTTCTTGCACCTTTTGAGATGCTGCAAACCTCACTTGAAGCTCGGTCACTGGTCTGCTCAGGCAAGGGAAGACGACAGTGGACTCTCTTTGCTCCTTGGCAGCAGAAGAGGCGGAGTTGGTCCTACCTGCCATCCCCCCTCTGCCTCCAACGGGATCCTTCTCTCGGTCTTTCCTGGTACCAGTGGTCGAAAGGGTGCCTCCGGGCTGTGATCTTCTCTTGTTGGAAATAAACCAAGTGGCAGTTGAGGTCTCTAGGGAGTCAGAGGACACCCTATTAGAGACGTCATGAATGGCTGGCCTTGGCTACCAACCAAGGTGGCAAATTCCACTGGGTTGTGAGGTGCAGGTACCTTTGTCAATTCCCCTTTTCCCCTCCCCCCTTTCCTCTCCCCCCAGGTGTGGCCCCAGAGACTCATTTTCCCGTCTCCGTCTCAAGTAGGCTCTTCACTGCTTTATATTCTTATGCCTTCTCAGTCAGTACTCCTACCCAGAACACATTTAGAGAAATTCCTACCTTTTCTAAAGGTGAAGTTTTATGAAGATTGCCTACCGTTGTTCTCATCTTTTTCATTATAGAAAACTACATGGGCACTTCCGTAGCAGGCAAGGGGAATATAAAGCACAGAGCCCCACATTATAAACAAAAAACAAATAAAAAGCAGCGATTGCGAGATTGTCACCTCCAGGACAAGCCCCACCCTCCCCTCCCTCTGTGACCCTGTTCGCTGGCAACTCGGAGACACTCATGGTGTCTCCAGTCACCGTGCAGCCAAGACATGTGTTCTTAGCTGTTGTAATGTGCCTCGTAAATCAGCCTCACAGCTCCTTAATAATTTTGTGGCTTTTTTTCTGAATTTCCTTCCTATGTCCCTTCTCTGGGGCCCCAGGGAGTTGGTAGAAGACAAGGTAGTTCCCGTGACAGGTTAGGCAGGCCAGCCTTACATGGCGTCCAGTTATACGGCCGGTTCCCATCACACCTCTTGTTCTGCTGACAGATCTCTCGATGTCCTGCTTTTCCACAAGCAACAAAGGGCGGAGAAGAAGCGGTGATGGGAGGTGAAACATGCAATATATGATTTTTGGTGTTGTGCCTTTTGGAGACATCTTTCCATCGCTCACCTTTTTAAAGTTACTTGGAGCGCATTTCTGAACGAAAACAAAAATCCAGGGGATTGCGTGAAATCAATTCAAGCTAGAAGTGAGCTAGAAATGGGAGAAATGAGTTAATTCCTCCCACTGCTAAATGGCTTTCTTACAGGGAAATGGGGTCTTGGGGAGTCCAATAATTTATTTAAAAATTTTTGAACTGGAGAGTCCAGCAAGCTTATATACTGGAGCGGGTAAAAGTAGGTTTACGGTTGTTCATATGGAGAAGAATGCAGTAATTCATAAATGATGGTGCAAGCTCAAACTCTGTATTTCACGTACTCACAACTGTACATCTACGTCTGCTCACGCCTCAATAGGCCACATTCCCAGTCCCCGGGCACCAGTAGTGCCCATCCATCACCACCTGAAGAAGGTGGCCTGGTAAGTGTTTTCTATGTGAATTCCTTCTGGTTTGTAACAGCTGGGTCGGGAGAGACCAGTCCTGCTCCACCGACCAGAATCCTTGAAGCCAGGAAGTGGTGTCGGAGACAAAGGCACCTGCGTGTGGGCGGGACGTCAGGTCAGCCAATAGCGTCTCGGGAGTGCGTCACAGTGGATGATGCTGGACTCTACGCTAAGTGCTGGTGGCGGTACACGCTGGGGAACAGACAGAAGGGAAGTAGTATCGCCTGAAGGTCCTGAATCAATTCAAATGATTGATCCTGGGGAAAGAAGAAATTTTGTCCCAAAATGACACCTCAGAGCCTAAAAATGCTTACACATCCTCTCCCACCCAATTTCTGAATTCTCAGCGACAAATAACTGAGACATTTCAAAAAAATTTTTTAATCCTC